TCTCTCTCTCTCTCTCTCTCTCTCTCTCTCTCTCTCTGTCTCTGCTGGATGTCAATCAATTAAAGTCACCTCTAGTTTCCTCTTCTATAACTGTTTTCCCTATAAGCTGTCTTACCACACATTGGAGCAAATCTAAACTATGTCCTCAATGTGAGGGCCACATGTTAAAGTCATCTGGAGAGCTTTAGAAGTCACAATGCTCCTTTACTTGAGAGCAACTAAATCCATATCTGTCTCAATAGGATATTAGTACCTGCATGTTTCAGAGCTCTGTAGGTGAAGCTACTGTTAAGAAAGAAAAAAAAAAGAGGCTATTTTCTGTCCAGGGTTAAGAAGCACTTTTCTGTAACTAGGCCAGGAGCTTCAAATTATCTTAATTATGAAATGAAGACTTTCCATAAAAAGATATTTCCTTTACCATTTGCTTCTTATACATTATACATTCGAATGTACACATATTCTTAGTGTGCAATTATGTCTTGAATGGAGTTATTTGTAAAGTACTACTTAGACAGGCACAGCTGACTGTGCAGAGATTAGATCCTTACTTCACATGATAGCTGCTATCATTAGATCCTAATGTGGAGAGGAACACCCAAGCCAAGGTTTCTAAACGCTGGAAAGAGAAAAACTATGTAAGTGCTTTTAAAATATAAATGATTTAGCTGAAAATATGCAACACTCTTGCAATACTCTGCATAATACTGTGGACAGAACTTTAAACATCGATCATTTCTCCTCCTGCTTTTTTCCCTCCTTTTTTGCCTCCTCCTACTCCTTCTCTTCCTCTTCCTCTTTCTCCTTCCTCTTCACCACTATCACCAATGCCTATCTTCCTTTTTTTTCCCCAATATTTATGACTTCACTTGATTTTGGTGATAGCTATTTATTCCCCTGTACTTAGGACAAGGTCTACAGGGCCTACAGCATCTTGCTATGTAGATCAGACTCATAGTAATTCTCCTGTTTTCAGCCCCCCCCCCCCAAGCACTGGGATTACAGGCATGTGTCACCATGCCCCATCTCAATTACCATCTCAGCAAGCCCTGCGGGCAGGCCTGGCACAACATGCCCAGGTTCGAACCCTGGCTGCTGCGCTTTGCCCAAGCAGGTGCTTTAGTCCACTCAGCTATCAGGCCGGCCCTGGTGATATCTATTTCTTTTTAAAGTTAAACTACAATAGATGCCTTAAAATTTAGCATGAAGTAATCTATTCAAATGAACTTAACAGAGGATTGAATATTTCTGCTTTTGTATTTAATTGAGACATTTTTAAGAGTACATGGATAAAATTTTGTGTTTTCCTCTGACGGTAAAATAATCAGAGATAAATATGCATCTGTAAAATGATTTTACAATGCCACTGTAATATGGCAACCCTATCTTTAACCACGTATCTCTGCTCCTGTGTTCCTGTTTTCTGCATCCCTTTAATGTCTCGTTTCAGCTATAGATCTCATTCTTCGACAAAGTTGTCAGTATTACCAGTCTTGTTTTCTCCTGACACGATTCTTATTTCATTGTTCTGGGTAGGACTAGCACACGTATACTTCAAAACTTCTTTAGCTAAGTGCACAACCCATGTTAAGACCATTGCCCCACTGAGTAGAAATTGCAGCCTAAGAAAATGTTCTTCCATGCTCAAAAAATAAGTAACAAACAAATGATTTCTCCAACCACTCTCGATAGATAAAAACTGACAACTCCGTATAGCTCAGAGGATAAGGGCTGGTAATGTTTTGACATGTGAATCATCTACCATTTCCAAATATATGCAACTCCATTCTGCATCATTACCCTTCTGACAGTGACTTACCCAGATGTTCCCATCTTGATGGTAGGGCTTCCAGTTCCTCCCTGTGTCACTGTACAGCATGCGATACTGGGTCACCCAGTCTGAGCTGCTGTACCTTCCTTGGGTCCCAATGGCACTGATCTGCTTCCGATTGCCAAAGTCGACCTGAAGCCATTGGTAGTGGTCACTGTCTGATGGGGACCATCCTCCAGCACCTGAAGAGGGCACAGCAAGAGGGAGAGAAACAATGTTCAAGTTGAACTGCTACACTTGGAAGCAGATTATTTTGCCTATCTTAATTGGCCTTGTCAGTGCAGGATTCCATAGCTGTACCATACAGTGTCCTTAGACACCACTGGGACTTCAACTAATATTCTTCCAGCTAGGTAACATTGATTCTTTAACCTCTTTACGGTGTAATTATGCGCTCATTTTCTACTGAGCAAATGTCTCCATAATTCGTCAATTAGATCTTATTAGTGTATGTCAAAGTCTAATTGGCTGAGGGTTGATCAATTTACAGTGAACTCTTTAGCTGCAATCTCTTGAAAAAAATTTGTATCTAAATCTTCTTATAAATGAAAGAAAAGCTAAGTACACTCAATTGTCAAATGTATTTCACCCTAAGAAGTGCAAAGTTCAAAAATATTAGTACTGTAGGTCTTAAAATGAGGCCTAATCTTACATTAAACCCCTGAACTCATAGGAAGTCAGATGTATAGGCTATCTGCAAGCATGTATCACATCAGAGATATGGAATTAAAATATTTCTAGAAGTATAATTAGAATTACTAAATAAATGTAAATAATTTTAGTAAAATATTATATTCGATTGGCAAATAGTGAGAACATCCAAATACTTCCCAGAAAAAAGGCATTAATATAGAACAAAAAGACTTATTTTTTAGTACTATTTAATGATGGCTGCATACAAAGGAATGAAAAATTACCCAATATATGGCACATAAATATATATGTTCCATGGTTTTGTAATAAGGAATTTAAAGGCTGACGAAATAGTTTCAATGATGTCTTGTAACAGATATCATTTTGTCAGTCACTATGGACCTCTCATGGGCTTGACAACGTGTGTGTGTGCTATGCCTGGGTACAAAGGGTCCCAACAACCATCACCTGGGTAGAAGGTGGGTGTCATGTGTATCCATGGGTTCATTACTGAGGGTTTCAGAGCTGATCGTGCTTTTAGGGCACTGGGCCTGGCTGGAGGTGTGTCACTGGGGTGTGACCTGGGAGCAAGTCCTCCTGTATGTGGCTCCTCTCTGTCTCTCTGCTGCATGGCTGCTGTGGGTCTACCAGAGGCAGACCTTCTCTTCTACCAGATTCCTCGGCCATCCTGTTACTTCTGGGAGTTGCCCCACACGAACCAAAGTAATCTTCTCAGACTTTAAGTTGTGTCCCAAAGATGAGAAAGTAACTGAGACGACAATGGCTTTGTTTAATCTCCAGGTACGATGAAATAGCTCCTTAAATAATTACTAGACTAACAAACAAGCACATGAAATGCCAGTTTTCAGGGACTGTCTAATGGCAGAGCAGAAACCTGACCCTCAAGCCATGATAAACGAGATGAGACAAGCTCTAGGGGGAGGCTAGGTCCATTAGACCCTGCCTAGTTTGGATCATCATGTCCCTGTGCTCATACGTAGGAGGCTTGGTTCTCAGGCTGTGCTATTAACAGGTAGCAGTAAGCACTGTGGGCTGAGGCTTAGCAGAAAGTCCTCTGCTCATCCGTCGTGAACCCTTAAAGGGGAGGGTGGCCCTCCAGCCACTTCCTGTGCCTGTCTCTCTCCCTGGTGGCTGGAAATGATAACGTTCTATTGCATTATCCCTCATGATGGATGTCACAGGCGCAAAACAAAAGGGTTAGATCACCATGAACTGAAATAATAAACTTATCAGCTGAAGTA